TTAGGCCAAAATCGTTTCGCATCATCACATAATTCTGCATGTTTACAATCACTCAACATAGATTGCATGCATACGCTCCTTTATTTTATGTTTGTCCCGGCTGACTTCAGAGGGCATGAATGCCTCGTCAATTTTATAACAATATCTTTGTACAAGGGCGAATTACTTCCATCTTATTTATGACTTTCCGAAAATTCTGCAAGCCGATGATGCTTGATCTCCCTTGCCGATGCATCTTCGCTTTCACTTAGAATTGGCAAACAATGCGTCAGCCTGAGCCTCTATTCTTTCAATTTCGTTTTGATTAGTTTATTTTCCGAACTTTTTAAAATACACAATTGATTGATTGATTTGTGAACCAAATGATTGAATCCACTTTACTCATTCAAAGATCTTCCAAGCTTTGTCATAAGAAGAAGCGTCTTGCTTTTTACTGTGACAAAAACGTAAAGGAGCATTACAAGGGAACCACTTTGGTAAACTTTACAACATTTATTTTTAGTCTTGCAATTCCAGTGCAGAGGTGTCGCTACGAATTTTAATGTTCCAATTTTGCCTAATATCATTAATGGTGATTGTCCTCCGCCTACTCTTACCACATTCACATGATACATAATTTTCACAAGTTATGTTTCACTAAACCATTTGAAGGGACTCTGTTGCCTGACAGGTCCGTCTGAATCACGAGTGGGTGGGAAACGTGTGGTTGGCCAGCCTTGGTCTGATCCAGTACCGGCGTCAATTTATGGAGTGCCTTGTTGATGGTCGCATGCTGGAGCATCTGACGAAGCGCGATCTGCGCCTGCATCTCAAGGTGATTGATGGCTTTCACCGCCTCAGCATTCAATGTGGCATCGCCCTGCTGAAGCGCTTCAACTACGACCTCGATGCCATTGAAGAACGTCGATTGGCATGTCTGAACAAGGATAATGGTAACTATTTTCGAAGTATTTCTTCCTCCACCACTCCCTAAAAATTTTTTGCCTTCAAAAAATCACACATTTAGGTTTCCTCCAGCCCTCAGGAGCGGATCGTATGTTATTCGAAGCCCAGTACCTGAGGCTGTTTTCAATGGTGTCTCCGACACGCACAGAAGGACAGATCAATCTCAAACGTGTAAACTGTAGATTCAATATGGTTAGGTTAAATATTACCATCACCTTGAATTAAGATGCACCGATGATTAGCTTCAACTGAACTTTTGCCATGCCAGAGACAGAGTCCATCCAATGTGGTGCAAACCAATTAGCTGTACGTTTACTGAGATTCGTCTCAAAGTGAGCAGCTACGTTGGCAGTTTGATGTAGTTTAAAGTAGTTTCAAATTTCGTTATCAGATTTAATTGTGTGGACAAATGACCGCGTGACCAGTTGGCTATCCTCTCTGGGCATTATCAATACGTGCATCAGTCTCGACCAGTCAGGACTGCACGGCGCCGTGATATCTCTTGATGCGGAAATGGACACTCCTACTCTAGCCATGATGCTCCAAGTACCTAATTCAAGCACAGAAGCCAGGTATGCCTTCTACTTGGAGTTTATGCTCTCAGCTGTAGGCGGCATGATGTAAGAAGCTAATTTCCTGTTCTCACTTCTCCAAACAGAAGAAAAAAATGAGTTAATTAAACTGACTCCCTGGAAAAGTTAAATTTGTTGCGTTCTGCTGAAGTGATCTCGCATCGATAACATTGCGTGAATCAAAGATCACTTGGAATGTGTCGCCCTTTGAAAAAATGTTGCTTAATGTTTCTGCGCCCAACTTAACCGAACTTGTTTACGCATCAAATCAAAGTATTTAGGGTTTGGAGATTTTTATTTAGACGTCGATCAGAGCGTGAGCCATGCGCTTTTAAAAAAATGGATTTCGTCTACGGAAAGCCAATGGTTCCATTTAACTGTACCTGACACGTAAATACGTGCCGTCTTAAGAAGGCACTTCTTAAAATCAACCTCTTGTATACAACACGTATTTATCATGCTTAAAATTATGTACGGAGCCATTTATGAATTAGACTGCTTCTGTGATTATTTGACAACTTTTGCAGTCGAAAATCTATGGCCGTTTCAATAAGTTGTTTCTGTTTGTCTGGCGGTGCACCTCAAATGCAAATAGTTTCAAACAGTATTGCAGTCTTCTCACAAATATGCCATTTGAACTTCCAACAAGTCAGAACTTCTTTGCAATTTTCGAGCTACCGTTTTCTTATATTTGTGTTGACCTTGGATAGATTAGTTATGAATTTTAATTTTGGAAGAGTCAGTGGGTGAGTGTGTGCTCGTGTTCTTCTTTCAGAGAGTTGCTCGAATATCACCTCTTCAATTTGGTTAAGCCGTACAGAAACTTACGCCTCTCCTACATCAACTTGGACAATCCAGCCTTTTCCTCAGACAACAGGGACAGTGACTGCCCCTGGGGAAATAAGGAGACGGAGGAAGAGGGTGCACGGAAGGACGATCCACGAGTATGCAAAGGAATGCCTCCCCCAGGATCACCAAGTGAAACGCCACACTGCCTCAGCATCATCAAGCCAGTTTCACCTTCTTCCAGCTCTGGAAAAAGTCACAATCACTAACATAGCATCTTCGTCATTAAATCAAATGTTTGACTTGTAAGTTGCAAACCACTTTTTCTACAGCAGCGAGTTCTCGAAAGTTGCTTAAATTTAGACGATGCTTTTTGCTTTAATGAAACAAAAGCTCACCAGTTCGGTCAATGATAGTATGACCTGTTTTAGAATAGTGAACATGGGTGTCACCACTTGGTTATTCAAATTTGTTTGTCTCTGCGTAGGCATTTGGTGGTGAATGAAGGGGAAGTTTTTGTCCGACGGAAATGTTGCACCTATCAAACAAACTCACACCAGATCGAAAGCTGGATAATAACAAAATGATTTTGCGATCAATATGAAATGTTCGAAAAAAGCTATTTTAAATTTTCTTCAATAATAACGTCTGACACAAAACTAGAAGGATGAGGTGTAAAAGCAATTTCATGTACTTAACTTGCAACAAATGCGACTTCCATGTCCATACATCCACAAATGGCCCACATTATCCACATCTCAATCATTCTTACAGCACGGTTTTCATGATGTCCAATCAAATGGACAGCAAGTCAATAAGTATTAGGGTTTTCTTCAACTCTTCATTTTTCATCATTGCCACTCGCTGCAGGGAATGCATGCCGATTCAAACGCCTCGTCCTACGCTCTACCTATGAAGTGTCTTTCAATTCTGAGAGAAATCGCGAATTACACTGGCAAACAAACTACGCCCTGTACAGAATGGTCTTCAAAACGTCGTCGAATTTTGTCTTACTCCGTGACGCGCTTTGTTGGATGTACCATACTTTTGACGGTTCAATTTTCTTCATTCCTAGCTTCTGTTTCTTGTGAATATCCTGCCTTACAGTCTATTCGGCTGACAAGATAGAATAACAGTGTACCATAAACATAACAAGTTGTGTTCCCTGCTGTGAGGTTTGCAATTAATTACGACT